CGGAAACGGAGGAGGAGAGCACGGGCAACGTTTTTATAGCGACGAGAGGGGGAGAGCGCGGCCGGGGAGAGAGGAAACGGCGCGCGGAAATCTCGGCCGCCATAGATGCGCCGGCGAACTTCGCGGGATTGATTCGAACGAATCCGAGGGAGAGAGAGAGGGGAAAGAGGGGGAAACGGGGGAGGAGATTACGGGGAGTAATTCCCCCCTCTTGATTGCACGCGGGGCGGACGGGAGCGGCGGGATTCGCGGCGGCGGCGGCGCTAGGGCACGGGCGCTGGCGGCGGGCGCGGCGAGAGGAGGGGGATGACAGGTGGGTCCCACCCGTCAGCGAGAGTGGCGGGCGGGCCCGCCTGTCAGCGGCGCGCGCGCGCGCGGGGAGCCGATGGGCCGGGGGGGGAAAGAGAGAGAGAGAGGGAGGGAATGGGCCGAGCCGGCCCAAGAAGGGGAGGAGGAGTAATTGTTGGAGGCTTTCACATTGAATTTTACTTATTCTTTTGCACAATTTTGAGGATGAATTTTAGAGTCGATTTGGGACGCGACAGCTGAATCTGTTTCTCCCGAAGTAACAAATCAAAAATTCTATCAGCCTTGGTAATGTCAAAATCATATATTTCTTCCTTTCCGGAATTTTTCACCCATTGACATGAGACCACCTTTTTGCTTCTCACCCATTCGGTTGCTGCTACTTCAGGATCCTCTTCGTCCTCAGATTCAGAGACATAAGAGCTGATATAATAAACCTTTTTCAATGCTTTCTTGGCTTCTTGGAACCTTTGTTCATGTGCTGCTATTTTCTGAGCCAAGTGGGCTAAACTCTCAAAGTCTTGAGCCGAAAATCTTTCTTTGATTGGTGATAATAAGCCCTGGAAAGCCAAATCGGCTAGGCCAAGCTATAGCATCTAGTTCTAACATCTCTGAATCTTTGAATGTAATCTTGGACAGACTCTTCATGTTTTTGCTTGATGGCTGTCGGACCGGATAGTTTCATCTCATGAATTCCACTATAGAAGTATTTATGAAACTGTTTCTCCAAATCGGCCCATCTATGAACAGAATTGTATGGTAAAGAAGAAAACCATGTGAAAGCCAATCCAGACAAAGACAAAGGAAACAACCTAACTCTTAGAGCATCAGTAGCCGATGCTTCACCACATTGGGCCAGAAATCGGTTAGCATGCTCATAGGTTGAGACATAGAAAGAAAACAAAGTAAATCCATCAATGATAGCCGATCGGCTGGCTTGCCGATGACATATCATTGAACATTAAGCCGATGCAATATGCATTAAATTTAATCAATTGGCTGTAGATATTAATAGAATATAGTCCATATCTCAAAATATGTTTAAACCAAGTGATTGGGATAGATCGGATAGGGCGCCAAGACAGTATAAATCACTTATGTCTAAATATACATTAAGACAGAAATTATATATATTCATAGCATAACCGATTAATCAAACTTAACATGTATCGGTATCGGTAATACTCCAATACTACTTTATATAAAGATATTATCATGAACAAAATACACTAAACAAACATCAATCTAAAACCATGATAACCTAATCAGATTAATAGTAAGCTTAATATATTTTATTGTGCTAAGATCTCAATATAAAGGGCGGATTTAGTATATCAAGTGAACAAGATAACCAAATCAGGTAAGACCGGCTGAAACCCCGATGCTATCTCTATTAGCAATCATAAATAGGCTAGAGATTATAATTCTAAACACGACTTAGTAGATCAAACCTAACTGATGCAGCACTAAGTATGAAAAGAAACACAATATCTAGACGATCAGGTCGATGAAAGCCTTTTTGAGATGGTAGATACACTATATAATCTGAATCAATATTGGTATATAACCCTATCGGCTGTTTTCTGGCAACGAATGCTAGCCGATGAGGTCATATGGCAATGTTGGTCTAGATTATATAGCATATATGATAACTAGACGATTTACATAAACAAGATTAGAGTATCATAAAGATGGAAGCACTAATCCCGAGAACACAAACCGCCACGACAAGTGTTACCTCCTGCTGGAGATCAAAGTCGATGCAGCCCAACTCGAAACCAAGAACTCGTCGAAATAGAAAACAGTAAAAGGTGGCGATGCACCGAATTTGTTATTGAACTGATTGTTATTGATTTACACGACCCCGGGTCCTTTTTATACCCAGAATTACATAAGATGTCCTTGTCGGACACGACTCCTATCTAATAAGGAAACTAACAAAATATCCTAATTAATAGATATAATTGCCTTTTCCAGACTTAATCCGCACGTGGCAATCCTCATGAAGCACACCAACCGAATTCGACAATGATCCAGCCTTCTCTCTATCGGAACCGGTTACATCGGCTATCCTAGTCCGATTCTGTCTCAGCCGATGTACACCATAGCCGATTCGGTTGTCAGCCGATTTGTACTCTGTTTCTGTAACCGCCAACTTCCTTCCAAATCCGCTGTAGTTCTGTCTTCAGATCCAACACTTGATTTACCAAATTTGGTCGTTAACAACTAGCAAGCACAAGTCAATCCTAACATACTACATGTAAGACATATACTCAAAGGAAGGCTATATGTAGTTCAATTTTAGCATAAAGCAGGTTTTATTTTCAATTCATTTGAAAAGAATTTAACAATTTCAACTAACAAAACAAGTTTTAAATTTCATCATTTAATCATTACAATTCCATCATATTCAAATATCTTGTTGTCATCCTTGACAACAAGTCATAATATATATATCATCAATCTCATAATACTCAACACATTTTATCCAATTTCAAATGAAGTCTCATGTTCACAATTTTAAAATATAGAGTCTATACTTATGACACTTCACCAAAGCGCTCTTGACCGTGAGCACGGCTAATCGATTAGTTTAGAGAACTCTGCAAAGTTTGTACAGCTTTACCCACATGATATGAACACTCTAGTTTGTCTTGTGCCGGCCAAAGCACTACCATACTCTACACATTGAGTACGTTCTAGAGATCACAACGAAGTCTTTACACTACTAGTATCTAGCCTTGCACCAGCACAATACGTGTTCCCCCATCCTAGGCATACTGGGAATAATACCTAGAACCGTTAAGTGGCGGGCCCATGCCTTAAACTTAACGCCGTGATGGCGAATATCGAACGGACTCCACCACGTGGCACAATACCGGTGTATTGGACAGACTGAGTCACCTAAACTACCACCTCGGGGGCAAATAAGTTCCTATAAATTATCGACTAATTCATACACACCGGCCTACCATAATGCAAGGCTAGATGCTAGGTAGATTAATCAGCTAAGGCCCCCCCATAAGAGCACATGTCGATGTACGGATAACTTTAAGTTGGTGACACAAGTTCGGTCCTTACGGACTTGAGCAAGCTCTCCCCCTATCAGTATGCAACTAACACCATATGCATACCACTTGCTGCTCAAATCACAACCATACTTTTACACATTTTAGTTCGCAAATAATCATCATTTTCATTTTAATTCCAGCAAGGGTTCACTTAGTAAAATCACATTTTAATTATTGATGAAATAAGCATTTGCATACTTCTAAGCATGGCTAAGCTAGTAGTTGCATATATAAATCCATTTGAGCACAAGATATGTACTCTAACCATTCTAGGGGTACAAACAGCAAGGATCACAATTATTCAAGGTAGGGAATGCAGCAAATAGGTCATAGCTACCATAACCAAGTTTTAAATATCGATATAGTCTAAATTCACATGCATCTTTGCAAACAAACATTTTCATCTCCCAAATCATGGGTTTCAATGTGATCAAAGGAAAAGGGAGGAAACACTTGCCTTGATCCTGGAAATGTTAGCTCCTAATTCACTTCTTCACCGTTATGCAATTATCTATATAAAGTACACGTTATGCAATTAAACACCGAAATATGCGAAAATCCAAAATGCTCTAAAATGCATGATTTGTGCACATTGGATAGGTACTGGTCTAGGATGAATTTAGGTGAAAGAATTTCTATTTTATCTCATTCCATTTGAGAGTTATGAATTTTATAAATTATATCGGTATAATTTAGGATTTTATTAGGCAGTGTTGTAAAATACTTTTATAAAGTGATTTTTTTTATTAAACTTGACTTCACAGAGGTGTTGAGATGTGTTTTATAAGACTAACACATTTGGTTTCATAATTTTTAGAGTTATTATGAATTCTTTAGGTATTTTTGCAAATTATAACGTGTTGTAGGCATATAGTGTTTTATGTGTATATGGTTTTGGAGTTTAATGTCCAGATCATGTTCCATCTTAGGTGTTGAGATGTGTTTTATAAGGTTAACACATTTGGTTTCATAATTTTTAGAGTTATTATGAATTCTTTAGGTATTTTTGCAAATTATAACGTGTTGTAGGCATATAGTGTTTCATGTGTATATGGTTTTGGAGTTTAATGTCCAGATCATGTTCTATCTTGTTTGAGATGTATAAAATGACTAATTTTGTTAACCAATATAATTTTAGTTCATGATTTTAGATATTATATAACTTTACTTCACATTTTATAAGCTAGGGAAATATTCTATGTAAGTTACTTAATCTTTTAACCTAAAGATTATTAGGTCAGCTAAGTTCATCTAGGTTTTTGGTGAATGAGGATGAATGTACAGATTCTCTGGTCTAACTAGTTTTAATTAGTTTATTTAGAGCTAGAGTGCATTTTTTTTACATAATTTGCTTAACTAATACTCCCTCCATTCCCTCCATTCCAAATTGATCTACATATTTCATAGGTACACCAAGACCAAGAAAAGCTAATAACTCTCTCATAGTATATTTACTCTAGCAACAAACTCAATGCATACACCATCCCCACTATTTCCTAGCCAATAGCAAATCAAGATATTGCATGTGGGTTATAAATACATGTGTGCATGGATGCATACATCAATGTTCATTTACTCCAATGCACAAATAATGAATAGACCTAATAAATGAACACAAATATGTAGATCACTCAGCAAGCACAATATAGAACTAGAAAACATGTATACACATTATTGGCAATAAAGTCTGAACAGGACACTTTCTTTCTTTGAAAAGAAACACATTTCAAACACCAAGTTAAAGAAAATAGTAGTTCCCATCCCGGGCAAACATGAATTGAAATAGTAGTTTCCATCCCGGACAATTATGAATACATCCTAGCATTTGCCAGCAAAGCCGAGTAAGCGTGATCAGCGCTTACCCACAGGAACCTGAATAAAAACTAGATAGCACATCCATGACTCGCATGGAACATGAATAGTTGAAACCGGAAACAAAGAAACAAATTGAAACATCCATGTCAAGCATGGAACTTGAATTATTTAAACAGAACCATAATCTGGAATATTGAAATAAGAATAACATCGTAAACACAAGATAAAGTTGAAATATATATGGCGTAAACAAACAATCTGAATATAAGCAATCACATATCACATATCACATAAAAATATATCGGACATAAATAGATAGAGCAAACAATCTATGAATCACACAGTTAGTTCGTCATGCACTTGCCTTTAACCTTGACGGCAACCTGGCGAAACCCCCTCCACACCTGTGGAGTAAAGCTACAAGTAAAACCTCTATCGAGGAATCGTTGAGACTAACTATACATGTCCAAAACATTATGAAAGATCAAAACCTAAATTTGGTATTTATCTGGCAACCACACAAAACCACCTATACTAGCCCTATACAATGTTATATACATATTTCACAATCCACCTAACAAAAAGTAGCAACCGATATCACTTTAGACATCTAGACAAAATTCTCTACAACTTTCATGTGGGTGAAAAAAATCAGATTAAGCCTATGAAAGTCCCAGATTATGGAAAACGAATTATTGTCCTAGTACTGTTTCTATTGTTTCTCCCAAACCATTTATCGGAATTGAGTGAAACCAGCGCCATTAGAAAGATATTGATGATGAATACAAACTTTATTTAGGACAACTAACCTGAATCACAATGGCCTGTTTAATGCCAGATTTTAAAATACTGTTTCAGCCCATAATCAAGAACCTCAAAAATTGCACAAGCGACTATCGAATCAATTTCTATTCGAATCTTATACTTCTAGGGAGTAACCAAAAGTACTGTTGCAGCGAGGATACTAGAATTTCGAAACAAACCCACTAGTTGCGAAGTCACCGAAATCCCCAAAATTACTCGGCCTTTACCTTCCCTTCTTCCTCCTGTTCCCCTGCTTCCTCTGCTCTCTGCACCCTTCTCCTCTCTGACCGATGCAGTACCAGCCACCAGCAGCAGCAGCAGCAGGGGAAGGTTAGTAGCGGCAGCAAGCAAACAAGCAACAGCCCTAGATCAGATTGGCAGCAGTAAGACCTCACCGGGAAGAAGCGGAACCGAAAGAATCCACCGGTTGTGATGGAGGATGATGGCTGCAGCGACCGGCAATGGTCGGGGCAGTGGTGGCGACACAGAAGCGGCGGCGGTGACAGGAATGGCAGCAGCAGCGCCAGGGCGCTGGAGTAGCGGTGGCTAGGGCTTCTGTAGCGATCTCTCCTTTTTTTTCCTTTTTCTTTTTTTTTAAGTTATATAAAGAGACTAAAACACAAGATCTAACGGCCCACATCGTTTCAATCCCCAGGACTTCGTTCGGACTCCGATTACTATAAACTTATAGTCTATTTTACACTACTCAGTGAGCTCTACGCATCCACGGTACCTGATCGCCTATTCGAAAAACGGTTTAAAAACTGAACTTTTGCGCGTTCGTTTTAAGATCTCCCGAAATATACTAATTCGAAACTCGGGGTATTACAGTCAAACCTCCGTGCCCTCAGATCCAACAATGACGAGTTCAAACTCGAAACGTTGCAGAGGGACAGGGCCCGGAGGGAACTCCAGATCGCTTTGTGGGGATCATCGACATCGACCCCCACAAACCCTTGGTTCTTCACAGCTTGGAGGACCAAGAGTCTTCAACATCTCATACTCCACGCAAAGTGAACGTTATTGAGGAGCAAGGTACAAGTACTCGAGTAGCCCCGGATCATACCCGTACGCCTACCCAGCACTTGGACATCATCAATTCTATATTGATAGAAGGCCCTTTCGATCCAGACCTACACCACGACGGCGATCAGTGGGTGCAACGATTACGGTCCACAGTGGCAAATCTCAATAGCGCTTCTGCGGTGGCGGCTGGACCAACGACTTTGGAACCTCCTCGACCTCCACCTCGAGGAGACGCTATGGAAGTTGACGGCATTGTCAATGCTACCAGCGATCATCCCAGCTGTGATCCAGGCCATAATCCCCGCAATGCACGCGAACCTCGTCAGCAGACCCCACCGCCTCATGGCAATCATGACATACATGATCACTTGAACGGGCGCCAGCGGGAACCACGAGATCAAGATGATACCCATCGACATCAGCGCCGGTCTCCGCATCGACGCAACAATGATGGCAATTGAGGAGGCCGCTCAGACGAGAACCGAGATCGTGAGGATCGCCAAAGCCACCGCGATGACAGTGAACGTGGACGGCGAGCTCAGGGCGACATCGGTTGAGGTCGCCACGATCACGATGACGACAGACGACACCGAGATTCGTGCTCTCCAGATTCCCGGCGGGATTGACAACAAGGACGCCAACCTTGGGACCGCATGCCTAACCCTAGCGACCCCTCATCGTCATCGTCATCATCATCTTCGGCTGGTGCCCCTCGACGACAACACGGACATCGACCACCTCTATTGCCTGGGGGCGGATGAAGGGTGTTCACCCCAACACTGCGAGAAGTACGGTGGCCCGAGAAATTTTGACCAGTGGCGATAGAAAAGTACGATGGGATTACAGACCCCGAGGAGTTCCTCGATATCTATTCCACGGTTCTTTATGCCACTGGGGCATATGATAACGTACTCGCGAACTACTTGCTAGCCACGTTGAAAGGATTTGCTCATTCGTGGCTAATTCATCTCCCGCTCCGTCATGGGAAGACCTGTGGCAACAATTCGTCGCCAACTTCCAGGGAACTACAAGCGACACGCGATCGAGGACAACCTCCACGCCTTAATGCAGAATCCGGGTGAATCTTTGAGGGACTATATTCGGTGTTTTAATGAATGCCAGAATACGATCCCTGAAATCGCCGACGCTTCTGTTATTCGTGCGTTCAAGTCAGGTGTCCAAGATCGCTACACCACCCAAGAGTTGGCAACAAGGCGAATTACCTTCGCACGCAAGCTGTTCGAGATCGTGGATAGATGCGCCCATGCAGATGACGCCCTCCGTCAGAAAGATGGGAAAGGAAAAACGGGCGACGAGAAGAAAACAACCAACAAGGATACACCAGAGTCTAGCAAGAAAAGGAATAGAAAGAGCGGAAAGTGCAAAGCGGCAACCGAGGTCCTTGCTACAGATCAAGCAGAAGATACTTACATTGATGGCTGCATCTTTGTCGGCGACGGGGAGGTCGCAGACGGGGGTTGGCAGCTGCGTGGAACCTGAGGGAGGGCTTATCAGGACTTGCCCGACCCTTGCCTTCACGATGTCGTCATTCAAACCTACAAGGGAACAATGAAAGTCAGTAAAGGGGGAGTCAATGATATTTTCTGAAGAGCATGCGACATCGCGAGAACGAGTACCCCACTGAGAAACGCGCGTCACGTCTTCATCCCCCATGTACTCGTACACAGGGTGAGCACGAGCTTAGAGCGGTTGAATACGACGGCGTATAAAGTCTACAGCAACTTCATACCCGGCCAACCCTTGTTTTCAGAGGTCGCTAACTATGTCTAAAAAAGCCTGGAGGGATGGAATCAAGGATGGTTTTGAAGTCTAGTCAGAAGACCGCTCAGGCTGATCTTCTAGGACAACGAGAACAGGATCGAGCTCGTCTACATGAAGGTAGAACCACTTTGACCTCTAGCTGCTCTGAGAAGAAGGGCAGTTGAAGGGGATATATTCCGCCTTCATCCCATCTCGGACGCGGAACCCACAGCATCCTGAGATTCTATGGGGCTCCATCCATCAGAGTTCGTAATAATAACGAAAAAGATCAAGGAAAGGCACTACACCGATGTAGGCCTCGCAAAGATAAGCAAAAATGCTCAAGAAGGCAATGGAGCTAGGATTCAAGTGTAGAAGGCTGAGGCCATAAAAGTTCAAGATCAAGAGGAGGAATTCGGAAGGAGGAGGCAAAAAACCACAACGGACGAAATCTTCTAAAACTACGACTTGCCCTAGGGCGGGTTGGGGTTCAGTACCTCCTTCTGAGCGCTCCAGGTTTTGGCGTCCAGGGATCGAGCCCTCCACCTGCAGCTTCTTCATCCCGGTGGTGTCGATAGTGGATTTACCCAAATCCATGAGGGCGATCTTGGGGTGGCGAGGAAGAAGAAAAGGAATTAGGGGTTCTTGGAAGCAAGATGAACAGGAAGGCGAAAGGATTTTTTAGGCAAACGGACCTAAAATGGATCCTAGAGTCAAGTTTTATAGGAGCACTACCGAACGGTTCACATTTCGAGGAAAGGAGAGAGATTGCCGCCGAAATTTTCTGAGGCCCGTTATTGGCAGTTGTTTTAGACTTCAATTCAAATTCATTTGTGGACCGTTGATCTTCTTTCGATGATGTCGCAAACTCCATATCTTCTTGATTCTTATCGAGAACGACCACGTGAGTATGACAACATCGTCCGTGAAGTCTGGGATGACAACGAGGACTCATTTGAGTTGAAATCGGGGGCTACTGTCATGGTTAAGGATAAGGCATACCTTATATCCTACGACTTATAGAATACACGGATACGGTATACCTCTTTGTACACAATGTGTTTCGTATATGATCAGGGAATTTACAAGATATTATGGAAATAATCCTTGCAGGCAAGGTGATAATAGAGTCCTACTCGAAAAGGATTTGGTTTGTACTATATCGTGCAGGGTCCGTGGTCTCCGAGTTCTACTAGGAGACTAAGGTGATTCACGGTATAAAAGCCACACCCTCTGAGGGGTGTGGATCATCGAATCTTTGTGCCAAATCACCACCATAACCTACAAGCCAGAGGACGTGAAGCCTACTCGCCGAGAGATCTCGTCGAATCCATCTCGACAAGGATCTCGCCAGTAATCTTGGGATCAGTTGTTCTTTATTGTAATATGTGGTTTTCCATATTAATCCCATATAAATTGGATTAGGGCTATTACCTTACGAGGGGCCTGAACCAGTATAATCCTTGTCTTCTTGTTTGCTTGATGTCGTATCGTGTAGATCCTAGTACCGACGTACCCCAATACCCTATAGATCCGGTCTACAGGTATCACCCGTCGACAGGCGTGGTGAAGAACATAATCCATTTGTAGATGGAATAAGTTCATTTTACATCTCTCGTATCTTGACGCTGAGTTTGAATTATGTTTTTGAACCATAATACCAAATATAACACATTTCTTTAACATGCAAAACTGGTGTGAGGTTCAAGATAGTATAGTACCCAATTTTGGCTGACGCAACGAGTGAGCCCCACATGTCAGCGGCCAACTCTTCTTCTCCCTCCTTCCCTCTCTTCAGCATCTCTCATATTCTCAACTAGCCTTTGAGCGGCAGGGAGAAGGGTGGATACTAACTTGGAGAGGGGTAGCCAACAAGGAGGGCTAACGGGTGGGCAGCGAATAGAAAGGAGAGGGACGGCCGCCTACTTAGAGAGGGGCAGTGAGTGCAGCGAACTAGAAGGACAACGGTCACTACAAACTAGAAGGGCGGTAGGCAACATTCTTCCTCCTCTCTACCCTATCTTCCCCGTCTGTCACCAGGCCTCCGAGCGGCAGGGAGAAGGGCAATCGCTGATGGGCCACTTGTTTCGCATGGCACAGTGGAGGCGCCACTAATGGATGGTGTCGGCCCACCTCATCGGACTGGGCCACTCGATTAGCCTCACCACCCAACTGCGCAAGTGTAAGGCCCATTTGAGGGCTTTGTAATTTGGCCCCATTTGTTGTCTCGATTTTGGAGAGATATTTTCAGCTCACACGAAATGAGAAAACTCATTAGCATATGATTAATTAAGTATTAACTATTATAAAATTAAAAAATAGATTTATTTTTTTAACAGTGTCTACAAAGAAACTTTTTGCCAAAAACGTATCATCTAACAATTTAAAAAGAGTGTTAACTAAAAACGAGAAGTTCAGAAAAATAACTGGGGCCGAAGGGAAGAGTTGCACTTGCACTGCTTGTCTGAACGCAGTCCATGCCTCCGTGGCACGTCTGAATGTCCAAAGACGTACCTCCTCCGTTCCAAAATAATCACCTTTTACAATCCTAGATAGCTCTAGTTAGGACAAATTTGAATCGCAAAGATTGCTATATTTTGAGGGAGTACGTTGTTGAGTTGTGATCCAAATTCATTTGCACATATAAAAGGCGACTTCAGACGGAGCGAAGTGGAGGTCCGTTGCCGGAGGCTTGGGACGGAGCGAAGCGGTATGGATCGTCATACTTTAGGGTTTCACCTTATATATACTTCTTGTAAGCCGTCGTTCGGCGTTTTTGTAACCTCATCCGATGTAGTGAAGATTTGCTGGCTGGCGCCCGTGGGTTTTTCCTCTCCTGCCTTAGGAGTGTTTTCCACATTAAAATCTCGTGTCGTCTATGATTGATCTATTGTTCTTCATCGTTTATGTGCCTATCGTTTTCTAACATACGTGACCATGCTAGTTTACATCAAATCTGATTTAGCTTTTGTCGGGTCCCGAAACTAATGATTCGAAAACCGACATATTAAAACTGTATCAAGCCCTGGATCAGTAGATTGATACAAGTTCAACAATCTGGATCTTCATCGCATACATTTGATCATGCAAGGCTACAAAGGAGATTTCTTTATGTAAAATAATAGGGTATTTACAAGGCTGTGGCTAACTATTACAGCAAAACCTATAGAATGACTTAACTCTAATGTTTGACTATAGACTTAAACCATCTATCTAATCTATATTTGCGAATTAAGTTAGAATGAAACTAACTTATGTGTTTGAACTCCCAACTTTAGCAAGGACTCCAAAATGACTGAAAAAGGGGTTGAAGCAAGGGTGAGTACAACGTACTCGGCAATCTATTATATTCAATAATGAATGCATGAAATGGTAATATCTGAGTAAAGCTAGGTTTACTTGCAGAAAGCAAAGAATATAGAGGAAGAAAGCCTAAAATGTTTTAAATGCAACAGTATTTAATAAAATTTGGAATTAAGTTTCTAACCAAATACCATATGAGTCCCAATGCTCAAATCCGTGAGCACGGCTATTCGAATAGATTCATTTATACTTTACTGTAGTAAATGTACGCTTTACCCGCAATCCATGACGTGCCAAACACATTAGCCTTGTCATGGCAAAGCTTTTTGGTTACTAACATCAGTGGTACATGTTCCATGAACTCTAGTCCCCATACGCTCTGAACGTAACGTTATCAGCAGCGAGAGGAGTTCTGGCGTTCCCGAGGTCTTTAGAGAGAACTGATTGTATGACACCATGTCATCGCAATCAGGGTTCACAAACAAGTCGACATCAATAAATCTCATATATTTACCTGCGCCTCGGTAAATATCGCAATTGCCCTTCGCGACATAAATTTGCCTCCTGCGCGAGGACTTAAAATAGAACCACTGTACAAAGGCACCACTTTTGCTAGATAACTTAATCAGCTAGGTCTATACCCATACGAGAATTGTGGTCGTACTCGTATGTTTTTCACATGTACTTGGCAATTTTATGTCGGTTGGAACAGTACTAGCCACCCGGAAATCAACCATTTATATTGTACTGTCCCAATCTAACTTCATTAAATTTTATGCATAATCTAACTAGGCAGGGCTAAGCAAAGCTAGCATATATCTGGTTTACTATGTTCAGGTTATGCATTCAAAATCATGTATGTCTAATGCATGGAATAATAGAGATATAAAATATAGGAATTAATTATGCTCAAAGGGGAGGAATAATAACTTGCCTTGCTCCAACGTAAATAAATCCGAGATAGACAACCTGATTATCTGATCCTTGAAATACCACAGGTTGTCATCCAAAATATAATAGACTCTACTACAGAAGAGGAAGAACCAAATTCAATAAAAGCCATAAAATAGAAAGAAAGAGATAAACGGTTGGGACGGTTAGGATTTAGGGTATAGCCTATCTCTTTTATAGGGTATATGGATTACTGGGCTGATATTTTATGTGTGGGTTATTGTCACACCCCGAAGTTTTCCTCCCAAGCCAAAAATTGAATTTACAAATGACCCCAAGAAAATGCAGGTGAAATCAGGAAAAAAACCCTAATAAAGTAATGCAAATAATAATCGGATTGGACATGTGGAATTTTTCTTGAGTTCTACATGTCAAAATTCATTAACAGGATTTTTAGTGGAATTTTCAGAGCTCTAGAAATAATTTTAACCAATTAAAATTGAGCAAGCAATATTTTTATTCCAGGGAAAATCCTTTTTCCTTTTCTTTTTCTTTTTTTTTCCTTTCTTTTTCCTCCTTTTTGTCAAATGGGCCGTCGGCCCATTTCCCTTTTTCCTTCCCTCCTCCTTGCTGGGCCGGCCGCAGGCCGAGGCCCAGCCCAGGCCGCCCGCCTCCCTCCTCTCTCGGGGTCGCCGACAGGTGGGGCCCACCTGTCGGGCCCGTCTCCCACCTCCCGCCGCGCCCGCAACCGCCGCCGCGCCCGCAACCGCCGCCGCGCCCACGTCTCCGCCTTCCCCGGGCCACGTCGACCACGCCCGCGCGTGCGCCGCATCCCCCGCGCCCGTTCCCCTCTCTCTCCCGCTCGCGCCCGCGCCCGAGATGGCCGGGATTCGAAAACCGAATCCCGCCTCTCTCTCCTCCCCACTCCCCCACGTCGGCCGGCGAATCCCGCCTCTTCCGGCCACGTCCGGTTCCCTCATCCCCTATTTAAGCATCGCCGGCACCCCCTCTCGTTTTTTCCCCATTTCGCCGACCTCTCCCGAGCTCCCCATCGCTCCCGCGCCGTGCAACCATCCGCCGCCGCCGTTTTTGCTACTTCGGCCGCCGCTAGCCGCCGCTAGGCTCGCCGCCGTCTTGCGCCGTCGTCGCCGTTAGCTTCGCGCGGCCGAGGTCCACCTCGTCCACCCCTCCTCCGTCGAGGTTCGTCGCCGGAGCCCTCATCCCCACGCGCACGGGTGAGCTCCATCTCCACCGCCGCCTTCGGCCATGGTTTCCGATCGCCGGGATCTATCTCCCTCTCTCTAATCCCTCTCTTCTCCTTCCTTAGGGCACGCCGAAGCTCGTCCGCCGTCGCCGTCGCCTCCCGTGGCCTGCCGTCGCCGTTCGCCATCGTCTTCCTCCGCGCCGGCCACCCTCGGTGAGGCATCTCCTCTCCTCTCCTTCCCCGTTTCCCCGTGCGTCGCCGCCACCCGCGCTCGCCGTCGCTTTGGGTCGTTGCCACCGTCCGCTGCCGCCGCTTTTGCGTCGCCTCCGCCGCCGGGTGCCGTCGCCGGCAACCCGTTCGCGCGCGCGCCGTCGCCGTCGCCGCGGCCGGTCGGCCGGTCTTGAGCCGGGTCGCGCCGAGTGCCGCCGCCCCTTCCTTTCCCTCTCCCGCGCCACTGACCTGTGGGTCCCGCGTGTCGGCGCCCTCTCTCCTCCCCGTGCCACTGACCAGTGGGCCCGCGAGCCGCCACCCCTTTCTCTCTCCCGGGTCGCTGACCGGTGGGTCCCGCATGTCGGCGCCGCACTCCCCCGTGCTGACGTCAGCCCTGGAATTTATTGCGCAATAAAGTATTTAAGGATTATGGTTATAGTAATAAACACAGTGAATCTTCTAAAATTCATAACTAATTCATCCGAGCTCCGTTTAATCCCATTCAAGTCTCAGTAAATCAAGAAAAATGTGTAGAATCCATTAAAAATGGTTTTGTTCCCTGTTTCAGTAGTCTTATAGCCTGTTTGCAATGTTTGCTTTGTATGTCGTTAGATTCCGATCCCTCCGACGCTCCGGTGTACTTCGAGATAGTCGCCGAGGTTCCTCCAGCAGCAGAGCAAGGCAAGTCATGCTTGTCACTTGATCATATTGATCCTATATTGCAAATGTCCTAATGTTTTCTTTCAAATACCGCATTGGTTTTGCAATATTACTATGGGATGGTTACCTATTGTTACAGCCATGCTATTTTGATACCATGCTCCTTTGTTAGCTTGGGTTATAACATGATTAGAGTTTGGACTAGGAATTGCTTAGCCATGCTTAGTTCAACTAGTTCACAATGGGGAAAATCATATTAATGATTAGACTGTTGGTTCTAATGGTAATGTTGGATCAATACCACCGCTCCGGTGTTGGTTAATTAAAATGAATCACATGGTGGGCTGTGGGTGCATGGTTTTGCTGGTCGCACCCATGGCAGTTAAGGACCGGTTCGCGGGATGCCCTGGAAGAACTTATCGTACTTACCACAAGCCAGCGTGGGCAACGGCTGGGCTTGTAGTGTAGCTTTCCTCTAGTCGACGCATCCAGGCAAGGGTGGGCGTGATGGAGCGGGGCGGGCCCTGCGACGGCCTCTGTCGCTTCCGGATTCACCTAGGCACGAGAGGGGACTGCCCGTTGCCCGCTGGGGACGGGGGTGAAACCTGAGGTGTGGTGTGCTTGGCTAGAGGGGGTTATGCGAAGGGTCCTGTCACGGCCTCTTTCCGGTATGTCGTGGTGGCATGCCGGCGCACGGAAACGTGTCGTGGGGCTGTGTCTTGTGGGTACAGTTGTACACCTCTGATCAGAGTAAAACTATTCGAATAGCCGTGCCCGCGGTTATGGGCGGTCAACCAGATTCCCCGTGATTAGTCTCACCCTAGTGTAATCTGTTGAACTTGGATAGTTTAGGTGGATGGTTGGGCCTGTCGCAACGTGGGTTAGCGTTGGACAGCGGATGTTTAATACTGCTTAATTATTACAACAGTTTTCGCATTAAATTCCTGTTTATAAATGCCAGTATTTATGCAAATGAACCACTTTAGCTCTTCTTTGTTAATTCCCTGCATCATACCCCTATTCCGGTATGACTTGCTGAGTACAGTGGGTAGTACTCAGTCTTGCTCTACTTTTCCCAACCCCAGAGGACGGGTATGTGTCAGATGAAGGTTTCCCCGAGGAGTAGGCTTCGTCCGTGCCGTCGAGGATGCCTGTGGAGTGGTGTTCCCGCTGCAGTTTAGTCAAGGCTTAGCTCCAGTTTCTTTTGTTTTCCGCTGCATTTATGTAAGATTTTACAATGTTTGTAAGACGTGGATCTGTATGTCAACATTGTCGTTTGTGTACCCCGGCTGGTCCTGGACGGGGATTTTAATGCACATTCTGCTTGGAATTCTATTCGGGAATTTCTGGGCGTGACAGTTATAAAGAGTTGGCAGCTGGGGTGGAGAGGGAATTAAGTGGCTAAGATCACCTATATTTTAGGGTTTGTTGGAATCATGCCACCCTAATTTTGCAAAATTTGAGATATGCCACCCGTATCTCAATGACATGTAGGACCCACATGAGCCAATGACATGTGGGTCAGGGTAGCATATCACAAATTTTGCAGACTTTGATTGGTTAGTGGATAGGGAGTATAGTGGATAATTGAATTGGTTGAGTAGATATGTGACTGGTATTGGCTGATGGTAGGTTTGGGTAAGATTATACCTAGGGTTTGGTTATATTTAGGCCGACTAAGGAGTAGGGCAATATATCGGCCAGGCTATATATTTTATGTATAGGTTCTGGTAGACAGAAAGTAGGTGGCTGAGAGTATGGTGGATAGGTGGTATTGTAGAGGGGATGGAATTTGGATGACAACTGGGATTTGACTAGCAATCCGGTATCGGCTAGGGTTTGGTTGTTTGCTAGTCGTTGCTAGAGTTGGCAGCATAACGACTAGATTTAGTGTCTTCTCTAGCCGGTGTCAGCAGACAGCATATCGGCAAGAGGGAATAGGAGGTGGGTGCAGGTTTAATAGGGTGGAAGTGTTACTCCAACAACCGTGGGTGGCGGCGGAGCAGCTAGGATCACACAGAGCCCGAGAGCTAACAACTGTGCGGCGTGCTGTGGGGGTCGATGGAATAGTGAAGCTCCGACCGCTATACGCATCGAAGCGTGGGGTGCTAGGAGCAGCACTTCGACCTTGGGTTTGGTTTATGCCGGGCTTTACAACCAACGGTTCGACATCGGGGATAGAAAACCACGATCGTCCCCATGGAAGGCGTAAAAATTCCAACCGGCAGTTTTTTAGTTGCTAAAGGGTAATTGGGATAAAAGAAAATATTTGAAAAGTCAAATATAAATTCAAACGGTATTTGAATAAATTCAAATAAAATCTTAAAATAGCAAATTTGATATCAAAATGTAGATTTTGAATTTAGATGAATTTAGGTCTAAGTTTCACTGGAATCGGATCTACGGTTTATGAGATATGGGCTTCTAAAGAATAGAATTTGAATTAAATAGGGAAATTACGAAATAGTACTGTACAGGGGCCCACCTGTCAGTTATTTGTCTCTTCTTCTTTTCTCTTTCTTCTTCCTCCTTCCTTCTTCTGCTTCTTTTTCTCTTCCAGCCGAGCAAACAGAGAGAAGGGAGAGGAGGGGCGTCGATGCTCCGGTGGATGAACGGCCTCGACGGCAGCGGCCACGCGTGTTCCCGAGCGACGCGCACCCGGGGAGGTCGGTGGCTGGCCGAGAGGGAGAGATATATAGCCGGAACGGCGGCGGCAAGGGCTCACCTCGAGCCGGCATGGATGATGGCGGTGGTGGGTTGACTTAGAGGTGGAGGAAGAGGGGAAAGGGGAAAAACGGACTCGCCGGATGGAGGCGAAGCCGGTGGCGCGAGGATAGGAGAGGTGGAGCTACGGATGGGGAGATCGACCGACGGCGTCGACGATCGGCCATGGATGGAGAGAGAGAAAGGGAGCTCGAGGCTCTGTTGATGTGTGGAGAAAAGGGGAGGGCTCGCCTTATATTTATAGGCGGCGAGAGGCGGTGGCTGATGGCGGTTTAGAGGGGAAGGTCGATGAGGACACGGCTGCAGCGACGTGGAGAAAAGAATGACGGCGCCGGCTCTGTCCTCTTATTGGCCGACGATGGCGGTTCGTCCCAGTTGCTGACGTCGGCGGAATGAAGTGTAGCTGACGTCGGGTGGCGGTTCCTTCGCGTCGACGGCAAGATGGCGGCGGCGGTAGCTGAGTCGTGCACGGCGGCAGTAATGGCGCACGGTGGCGGCGCCTGGAAGCGCCCACGGGAGGAGGAGCAGGGAGTCGGCTTGAGTGGGAGGGGCTGGGCCGACTTGGGCTGGTCTGGGCCGAAGGAAGAGAGAGAAAATTCGGCCCAAATGAATAGGAAGGCTTTCTAATTTGTGTAGGGAATTGAGGGATGGAGTTTAAATCCAAATTAATATTTGGAAGAAATTTAAGTGGCTAACCTTTGAGATGAATTTATTTTGGAGATAATTTCCAAAGAGAGATTTCCTAATTATTTGAGTGCAATATTTTAGAGGTAGCATATAATGGAATTTATTTGATGCGCTCAAATGAAAGGGTAAGGGATATATGAATAAAATTGAATGTGTAAATAGGAAGGTGGGAAGAAGATAATTGGAGAAGGATAAGTAGGGTTTTAGCCTCAAAATATATGGCATGGGTTTCAAAAAATTGTTTGAGGCTAATAGGAAATTTGGATGACAAAGATATAATCTATTTTCTTAACACAAGAGCAATTATTCATAATATTTGCAATAATAATATTTATTGTGCCGAGAAGAAAATCAAGCCACAAGAATTAAATTGGTGGCTAGATTAAAAGAAAGGATTTGGATATTTGGATCGAGAATCAAAGGATGGGTCGACAATTAATTCCAATTAAAGTTAGAATTGCACATAGTTGGTTTGGAGGGTTTTCTTGGACCATAATTCATACAAATGAAAAGGGTTTTCGAACTAAATTTGAATAAAAGGAATTGCATCGAAAGAAGGTTTTAATTTAAAACCAAATCAAGAAATACCTCAATTTAACCAAATATATTTTTAAATGAAAAACACAACAGAAGTTAAATATCGGAGAGGGATTTTATGCAAGTTAGTTCTAGGAGGTCTCTCTAATTATATTTTCCTAGGTTCAAAAGGTTATTGAAAACATAAGAATCGGCATAATGCATAATTAGAAAATAGTTAATTTTCAGGATGTTACAGCTTTCCACTTAGAAGAAACTTCACCTGATACGATGATACGAGATGTTGTGAAACATGACAAATCAAGCTTACAAGTTCCAACTCTGACTTCATATGACATAATTTAATATAAGTGGTGCATACATTCGACATCAAAACTACGGAGAACTTCCATGCAGCAGTTCAACTTGAAAACTCAACATGAATACGGCTCCTTTCAAGACATTTTTAACCAGAAGTAAAATCTAAGAGAGATAAGCAACATCCTCCAGACATCGAGATTACCTGCATTGGATGAGACTGTTAATAATTAACCGATCAAACAAAAGGCAGCAGAGATAATTGACAATGACGTAGGCATATTGACAACTTCAAAAATTATGCACAAAAATGTCCAATTGGGGCGACAATAGACAATCACACATTAGTTAAGTATATTTGAATGCCAGAATAATAGTTCGATGAAACAAGTAGATACTCTGCTGGCAGATCAATACTTACAATACTTGGTTCTTTATAGTTAACAGGATATAAAGCAGCAACGGTATTCAGCTAACTTTATGACAAGCTCACAAAAATGTCTGGATTTTTTTTTTCCATGGCAAGTAGCTGTGATAAAAATTGCTTATATGTGCCAATCATTTGTGTATAGAAGGATTATACTCTCTCTATCCCATAATATAAGGCATGATCAACCTTGATACAGTGATCTCCAAAACTAATTCTTGTCTTATAATTTTTCATATATTATAAGGTTTGTAATAACAAAATTATAATCATATGAAAGTAAATTCAAATGTCAATCCAATAATATAATTTATAGCAAGTAAAATATCAAAATGTTTTAAAGGTGAAATCTTAAAATATGTGGACGCCTTAATTATATCATATTATGATGGACGGAGTAGTATCAGCTCTTCAGCAGTTTCAGTAGCCATGTCCCCACCGGCATAATAAAGCCTCTCCATGCAACGTTTATGTTATTGACTTATTGGTTAGACTAATTTTGGATTTGTAGATCTTAATTACTTGTTCTGAATTATTTAAATCGAGGATGAGATGAATGGTTTGCATGTACTAAATTTATTTGGATTTGTTATACTCAATATTTGTTTTCACTTTTAACAGAGGGTGATTTAAAGCTTGTTATACTTAATTAATTGTTTTCACTTTTAAAAGAGGATGATTTGAAGCAGTATGAGCAAACCGTTCTCTGCGTTGAGTGATTATCTCGTCCTCAGCGTGTTAGACCTGGGTAGCGTCGCATCGCTTACGTGAGTATCATCGCATCGCATCGCTTAAGTAGTTTCTCCAATATGTATATGGCACGCATTATTACCTTTGCACACTTAATTTGCATATATAATTAATCATTTTATGCTTAATTTGCATTGATCATGATTACTACGACAAGAACATCTAGAATAAATTGGTTTCATTGAGGTATTTTATCATAAGTACGGTTTCAGGAATATATCTGTAAGTTCAGTGGACATATTTAGTACTGGGTTATTATGGTGATTGAAAACAGAACAATAATAGCAAACACTCGATATGGTCACATACTTAAATTTGTCTGTGCTCTAAACGTTTCCTGGCTCCTAGCAAATATGCATGATCGAGTATTCATTGCAGTGATAGATGCTTTCCCACCATAAGTAATTATTGTATATAATTTTAGTCTTGATATTTATTTAACGGTCTTTTTTTCTTCTATGTTGTGTTCTTTGATTAATTAGGTGATAAGGAGGTGTTGAATAGTCTCACATTGGTTGTAGAAAAACAAGGGACCTAACATATACGTAGTGGAGAAGCCCCTCACATCATTGGCTACCTTTTAAGGTAGGAAAGACCCTTTACGATCATACAGGAGGAACGTCTAGACAAGGAATATCGTGATCTGAAGCTCGAGATCGAGCAAATTAAATTTGCTATACAGTCTCTGCGACATGAGAAGGAAGGGAGAGGCGACCATAATTTTTTTTCTTTTTCTGCTTTCATGTCGCTTTATAAACTCTCTTTTTTTTCCTCTCATACCAACTTCATTGTACTTGTTACACAGGAAGCATTAGGTGGCACCTCAAATCAGCAAAAACAAGGGAAGAACCAAAAAATAGAGTATGTTGATCAGACATTTTTTTGGGGCAATTTTTATAAGTTCTGTTAATTTATTTGAGTTACGGATATGATATGGATTTATAATTGGAATAATGAATTTGTCTGAATTTTCCTGTTCAACCAGGAAACCAGCGATAGATGGTATTATGAAGTCATTACGAGCAAAAGCAACAAAGTTGCAGCAGGTCAAGATAAGGTAGTCTCTGATTGATGCGCATTAGCAATTTAACCAAAATAAATCAATTATATAATACAGAGTGAAGTTAAAACATTCTTTTTACCCTTTTTTTTTCTTCACGGCTTTCCTTGGGAGAAGTTGAAGAAAGCCAAGAATATATTCAGCATGGATTTCAAGCTACGGCCGTAGATTAATTTATTAAGTTCCCGGAAACAAGACATGCAGATGTGTAATTATGATAATTCACATTTGGATGGCCTCAGTGTACTTTAATCAGAGTTTTGTTATTTATGAACCGTTTTTCTAGAGTAGATACCTTGTGAATTCTTCATAATTTCATCCCATGAATTCTTAGTTGTGTTATCAAACTTCTTGTGCAAATGGTATGCGCTTATGTCAAGCAGAAATAGTTATAGTATATTCTGATACTAAAAAGTGAGGTGGCAAGTGGTCTAACAAAACATTGCATCTTCCCATTACGGTAAAATCTCACTGATCTATGTGGCCCAATTTATTCGTCTCAAAAAATTTGGCTACTCCATTCGAGAATATAACAACCCAGATATATTATATTATAATAAATCTGGGCATACTTTCTATCCAGATTTTTATTAATAGAAAAAGTCTAATCTATGTCTATTAGATTGTTATATTTTGGGACGGAGCCAGTACCTCGTAACAATGGCAGCTAGAGGCATGTCAGTTGTTAGGTTTTCAAGGAGATGTAGCCATTGTTGATCATCCACTCTAGATTCCAGTGGTTGTTAACATTCTTGAGAGTCCAATAGGACCATCCAAAGGTGGCCTGCCCATAAACATCCATCTGCACCTTTGCATATCTCTGGTACTCTTCCTTTGTTGCATTGGGTACTCTCCACTCAGCCACCCATTCTCCTGCAGGAAAAGAACATATCTCATATTATGTTAGATTGCTTACTACCATTATTTTAGAAATTTTTAGGAATCCTAATGCAAAATAATTATACCAGTTTCTTGAGTAATTAATAAAGCTCTCTTTTCACCCAAAAAGAATTATTACTTACCCACAAAGGTGAGAGGGCCATTTTGTGTTGTGACATTTTTTAGCTCACTTGAGAAGTTTGATTTGATAAAATCAATGTTCTGCTGCACAGTCAGGTTATTGAACAGGTCATTGAACACCGTGTAGTAGTGCACATCGATGACGGCACGGGGGAAGCCGTTGGCAAATTGAAGAAACTCAGTTGGATCATGCGGTCCCAGACGGTTCGACATGATGACGTAAGCCGTCGATGAGTATTTCCTGACGGCGTTGTATCCATCATGGTAGTACTTCATCAGACTCTCCAAGGTGGCACGGGGTGCAAACGGTTCATTCATCAGCTCCACTGCCAGGAGGCTTGGGCTCTTTGCGTACCTATTGACGTCAAGGTGAATTAAAACAGTACGAGGAAATTCATCATGACAAAATGGGGCTTACTGTTCAGTATCAGATCATGCAACGAATTGTGATTCGAATTGAACTGAAACATCTTAAAGTTCCGCAGTTCTGTATGTTTTGATTCACTGCTAGACTACATGCTAATGAAAGATCTGCTGTCCTGAAATATCTAAGGAAATTCATGGCAGCGATATCTGGCTTACTGTTCATTATCTTACAACATCTGCCTCACTGTTCACTGTTCAGTAGCAGACCTTGAAAAGGTTTGTGATTCGGACTGAAATATCTGAAATTTCCAGAACTCTGAATATTTCTGTCCATTGTAAATCAACATGCTCATCACTTCAGAATGGATTTTTTTTTCTTTTTACTGAATGAAATCTGCCAATTTGCTTTGAAAATTCTCAAAGTGTGTTGCTTCTGGCATAGAAATGATCTATAAATATTTAGTGACTACAAAAGTTTGAACAATTTAAATTATGATTTTGGCACTGGTGAGAAAAATTTCCCTTGTGAAAGATGAGAACCCTGACCTGGATGCGAGGAAGTCGATCACTTGCACTGTCTCTGCGATGTTAGCATCAGATGTTCCCCACTCCTGCGTGCCATCTCTGGATGAGCTATGCTCCCATGGGTTCTGCGACCCGGGAGCCGCATGGAGATCAATAATAACGCCCAGCTTGTACTTCCTATATTCAGATACAAGAGATTAGCTCACAATCTGAATATTCATAACAATCCTTACAACGAATTCACAATCTGAAATGTTCAGATTAGCTCATGATCTGAACATTTGTTGATCTTTACTTTACTTGAGTCGATTTAAAGCTACAAAATTGTGATTTAATTTTGTGAAGACTTACTCTGCCCACTTGAAGGCATTGTCCAAGGTTTGCAGGGATCCTCCGACATATGGAGCCGGAGGATTGGGATCACTCGCAATCCACCATCCAACTGGAATTCGCACTGCTGTTAACCCGCTTGCTGAGATGAACTTGAAGTCGTCTTCGACTATGTATGTGCTCCAATGATTCTGCCAGAAAATAATATATAATTGATTCACAAAACTGAAGTGAAAATGATCCCAATTCATCAGTACAAAGCAACCATAATCGTGCAAACATATTTTCATTGATTTTGCTGGGTCTATTACTAAATTTCAGAAAAAGAAATCATGCTACTGTTTGGCATATATAGGACCAGTGCCAATAATCATTTAATGAATTGGTTCCCTCAATCATTCAGACACACAAGCTAAGGCCTCGGCTTTCACTTATGACAACAAAATTGGGACCAAATCATAGTGTTTGGATTGGCAATCTTTGACGGGACAGAACGCAAGACAAAAACAAGATAGTTTCGTTCAAGCAAGCTGAACTCAGCATATGTATGTGAAAATTTTACTCTGAATTCTGCAAGTGCCAAGTAGTAATGAACAGACCCCTTCACACATTTGGGATGCACAGGAGTGCTTCAATTCTCTGTAGTTTATGATGATGTACACGGATATTGGATTAAATTTCATTATCAAAAAGAAAAAAGTTTAGAATGGAGTCATGTTTGCATGCCTAGTAAATTTCAGGTCCTTTCAGATAAGATAAACACTATTCCACCTGTAATTGGCCCACCGGAATTGTACAAGAGGTAATCATAGCATAGATGCAATTTGCAACTCATATGTGATCACTGATCTCTCACATGCATGTCAGGATTTGTACAATTTCTTCCAAACTCAAAGTAAACACCGGGCTATATATCGGTTGCATTGATTGCTTGCTACTACTGTTTTCTTGTTTCTTTCCTCTCCCCTATAGACATTGACATCAGATACAACAAAAAACAAAACAGACATATCCCTGAAGTATGGACCATTCCAAATCATATAATTAAGGAAACAAGTAAGTATATGCTATATCATGATTCATTAGCTATGTATCAACAAGAAGATAAGCCTATTTTCATGACAAGTGGGGCCCTTGGGTTGTGAGATATCTTACCCTGAGTATTGGTGTAGCCTTGGCTGTACCATAGCCATTGCAAATCTGGTACTCTCCCTGCAGCTCCAAAACTTTTGTTACTACAAATACTGATGGGTCATCGTCTCCCCAACTTGTGCTTTCACCGTAGTAATCTGCTGTCACTGAGTTAGATCCCAATGCTATCTGCCAAATTAACCGAAATGTCACGTGTTGTTTAACAAGGAGTAATTGTAATTGTAATAGGAGGGGCATTGTACAACAGCATGTACTCACCACATTGTACATGTTCACTTAATATGAAGTAGGGTGATGCCTAGTATTCACCATGTAACTTTATAGTGTGTTAATCAAATTGAGTACATGGATGTTAAGTTTTTAAATACGACCACTATTAAGTAAGAAGCCAAGATTTCAGATAATATACGAAACCAAGATTTCAGATAATAGAAAAAAACTCTCTGCCTCTTCACACCGTGATATATGCATTATTTAAAAAAGCATATTAAAAAAAGGTAGAATTGGTGTGATGATGAAGTCGTGAGTATATGATTTTCCACGTAAAAGTTTGAACATTGATGTCCACAACACTACACGCCTAAATGCGTTTGTATAAATATTTAGTGAGATCAGTGGTTTGGCACATTCCTTTTTCTAAAGCATGTTAAAAATTACGTATGCGTTCATACCAGATATGTGTATGTGCCAGGGTTAATCCTATCGGTTAGGCCGATTTGATCGGGCCTCGCCGAAATGCCGAAATTTCGAAAATTTCGGTCCAAAATTTCTAATATTTTAAACAAAATTTAGTTGAATTTGAATAAATATTACCAAAATTTATGAAAAAAATAAAAAATTTCAGCCGAAGTAATATCGTATTGGAGGGGACTGAAATGAGAAATTTCGGTCCGAAATTTCCAACCCTGGTATGTGTGTCTTTCGTGTAATCGCGAAAAAAAAGAAGTACAATGGTGTAGCTCCTCTTAGGCAGTGCTTCTTCCACATAAACACGCGTGCCATTATGAATGTCAGTGCGCACGGTTTCTTATCTGATTAATTAATTAATTAAATAAATTACCTGCAAGAAGTGCCCATTTGGCGCCCTAATCCGCACCCGGCTCTTGTCGCCGTCGTCGCGCACCACCTGGAACGTCTCCGACGGCCCCGGCGCGGCGGCCACCGCCACCACCGCCGCGCCGCCGTCGCTCCCGGCGCCGACGAACCGGCCGCTCGACGCCCGAAAGTTGAACGTCGTCTCGTTGATCCGCCACAGCTGCTCGTGCAATCGCATGCATGTGATGTGATTTTTTTACTCCGGTGAGACCAAAAGTCACTCACACGCCGTACTCCGGCGAGCCAGCGGCGGCGGCGGCGGCGGCGGTGGCGAGGCTAACCTTGAAGGTCTCCGAGGCGGAGGGTGCCGCCTGCGTCCGGTTGGCGACGACCGCCGCGGCGCCGCCCTGGTCGGCGGCGGTGAGGTACGCGCCCGCCGCCACGGCCTTGAGCTGCAGCTGCGCGCCGTCCTGCAATCAATGTGTTCGGCGTTATGCCGGAGCGGCGCGGTGGCACCACCAAAGAACGAAACAGAGGTCATGGTCGGACTCATTCGTGGACATGGCGGCGGCGGCGGCGGCGAGACGGCCATACCAGGAGGTCCTTGTTAGGGATGGCGTCGAAGAGGGAGGGGAGGATCCAGCCCTCCGTGACGAGCCAGCCACCGAGGCACACCGCCCGGACGGGGAGGCCAAAGGAGGAGGGCGGCGGCGGCGGCGAGGGTGGCGTCTTCCTCTTGGCGTCGGAGAGGGAGCATAGCCATGACGAGACGAGGAGGAGGAGGCAGGCGCGTTTGAGAAGACGACTGCTCATCATGCTGATGCAGTGCTGGCTCACAACCTGCTCTGCTCTGTTTTGCTCTCTGCTTGCTTGCTTGCTTGCTTATATGGGTGTAAGAGCGTGTTCTTTTCAGTCTGGATTATCCGTACTACGGTACCATAATTTCTCTAAAAATAATATACATCAGCATTATTTAGATAACTTTTTCTGAACTCTTTTTTTGTTAGTTTATAATACACAATATTTAATTTATATATCAATTGTTTGTGTTCTATCCAATCATCCATAAGGAACAGAGCTAGATGATCAGGCCATACAAAGGCTACAAAATTATTGGCAATGTCGTAGGACTTGATATTGCGTGGCCAGCAATTTTTGTACGGTGCTATTTCTCAATTTCTTTAGATGTGGTCTTCTTTCTTCCAATGTTGTATCAATGGTTGTTTTTTTTTCTGTTACAAGTTGACAAGATAAATGGATCATGATCTGGGACAATATGGTTACTGCAAGGTGGACAACTGTCATCTAAAGATCCCTTGTGAATATGATGATGACTGTAATGTGGAAGATGGTGGCAATGATAGTGGCAACTTCATATGCATGTTTTTTTTCTATAGTTTAGATTACATTTGTGCATGATGTTCTGAACAAAATTTAATGTCATGACTTATGAGGATGATTTTCCATGTAATACAAAAAATTCTCTTTAATTACAATTAGTTTTATGAATGACTTGGTTTTTCTCATGTGTACATCATTTGAGTTTACGGGCCTCTAACCCAACAAGATAATTGTGCAAAGGCATGCTGGAATGAATAGTTGCCTATATTGCAATACTTATTAGTGTTGGTGCAACTTGATTATAGCCATTGCAAGGATTATATAGAATTGTTCATCACCGAAACTGCCAACGCATACAAGTATGGCTGAAAACTATTTACTTTGTTGCTAACTAGCAACGTTTATGCTTACATGTTACCAACGATTGTGTATGTGTTGTTATTGGTGCTAGCAACAGTAGCATAGGCAACGCATATTAAATGCGTTGATACAGAGCCTAGCAATGTTTATTTTCACTTTTTCAATACATATATGTATTGCTAAAGGGGTTCCTCTCGTAGTGTGAACCTAATGATTAGGGCACTTAAGTGCGTCGGTGACCAGCATGGGAGGTTGTCCTTGTCAGAGAGGGCGACTGGGTTTTGGGTTTTCCATCAACTACTGAGAAAATCAGGCATCCACTGTTAAGTTGATTGATGAGTCATGGGTCTCGATCGATCTCCATTTTTGTTGTAGCCTGGTCGCCACGTAAACCACAAGCAAGATAAAGATGGTGAGCAGCAAACAAACCGACGATGTATCGGCTTGGAATTTGGATCACATAATATATTTCGATCCACTAACAACCATAGTGTATGAAGGGATTTGTTTATCGTCATCAGCGACATTCCTGGAGGATGGAGTAGAATCTTGGCTCGACGTAAGAAGACGTATTTCTTTAAAAAAATAAAATTGATTAAAAGCCGGCCACTACATCCATTCTGGATGTGCATCGTCAATGGGCGAAGCTATGTGTAACTTAACGTATGGAAGCGATCGTAAAAAAAAAGAAGTTAGGAACCGAGCAGAGTAATTATCGATGTTCTATATCGACAATAATAAAAGATGTAACATATGAGGTCTTAAAGTGAATGAATTGTACGAATAAAGGTTTAGACAGGTTCAAACTCTCTCGATAAGAAGTAATATTCTACTTGTTATGGTCGGTATGGTCTACGAACGCAATAATCACAAGAAGATGGCAGAGGACGGCGCTTAGAACGACGGCTCATGAGTTAGCTCCGCAATTGCCGAACAAGGAACAGTGATCACGCTTGCATGGATAGGATTAAGTTAATTAGTTGTTTCCTCATTAGCGGTAATTCAGTTCATTGTAAGCCTATTTAAGGGCTACTGATTTATGAATAACACAAGCAATTGATCCGATCTACTCCCATCTATCTTCTCTACTCTCTCATCCCCTGCTCCACTTCCAACGCCGTCATGGGCAGGGCATAACCGATAGGAAAACTCTAGCAACTAAGACATATACAATTACAAATACCATAGTTATGGTCTCCTCCTATAGTAATCGGATATACGGGTCATATACACACCTGATACCCATAGTCTCCCTAGTAATCTTTACTCATTAGAAAAGTTCCAATTTAGTGTGAAATTGCAGGTTTTAGTGATATGTCATAAGGACATGGTATGGTAAGTACCCACAATCTAGTCAATGAACTTACATATTTGTCAATCTGATATCATGAGACTGTAGCGGCTGCGGATTTGGGGCTATGAACCTTCACCTTAGTGGATCACGAACATGCCACATGTGTCCCTTCCCTACAGTCCTATTGATGTGATTTATGTCCGGTTGCAATAGTGCAGAGACCGGAAATGTAATATTTTTCGTTATCTAAAAAAACATACTACATCTCATTTGTTCATAGAAGTACTCAATTCATAAACTCTAATAGCAGTGCTAACCACATTCTACAACGATATATTTTAACTTTATGCGTATGTAAACATTTCAGGAGAATTCAGCTAATTGATATGATCAGTGTAAGTAACCTCCCCATAAAATGGTTGTTTTAGCAAGGGCGAAGCTAAGCTCTGTTCATCGGGGTTATCCGATTCCAACTTCGATCCATGCTTATCAGGTTATCGTGCTATGGAATTAAGCTGATCCTGATGATATTTTCGGCTGGCTTTCTCCTCTAATTTTTACTCCCTCCGTCCCTAAATATTAGACGCCGTTAACTTTTTTAAACATTTTTGACCGTTTGTCTTATTAAAAAAAATTAAGTAATTATTATTTATTTTCCTATCATTTGATTCATTGTTAAATATATTTTTACGTATACATATAATTTTACATATTTCACAAAAGTTTTTGAATAAGACGAATGATCAAACATGTTTAAAAAAGTCAATGGCGTCAAATATTTAGCGACGGAGGGAGTACCTCTGCTTGAAATTTCTTCCAAACAATTTGTGGTATGACTAGTTACCGCCTCCGTAGGATGAAAATAGTAGATCGTGGTACCAATCTCTGCTACAAAGGCTCCCTCAGATAACTCCATTTGCAACGGATATATCGATCGCATCATAAGAGTATAAGACGATGGCTGGCAATGGCATCTTCACGGACAATGTTACATGGAAACATGGTCCGTCCATGGCGTGTACCTTCTTTACCGTGCGCGTGCGCACTTGGATGGATGCTTCCGTGAGTGAGAAGAAACTTTGGCTATTCTGCCTGGTTGCCAAGGGGATGTGACAATTGCGTTTCACGAGCATAGCTGCTGTACACTACCGGCTGGCTGGTCACTGCCTTTTGGCCTAAGATCTTGGTTGCTTCTGCCTTTCAGCTAAGCAGGATGAGCAAGATGCTGTAGCCAACTACTAGCAAGTACTAGTAGCAATCTAACATGTCATTCTACTGTAGTAACATACCCCTGCTTGCTTGCAGACGGTAGGTAATGTAACACGACAGTATTGGTCATAAACCAGAGTAAAAGCCGGAGAAAATTGTTGCTGAGACGGTTGCATTTGCATCTTGCCTGTCCTGCAGCTTCGGTAATCACACCCACAACTAGCAGCAATACGATTATCAGGTCACGAGAATAAGCAACTTGATGGGTGCACACACAAGGATTTTATATGAATTTCACTGATTGAGAACTCTTAACAAAACGCCATAGCCCCTCCTACGATCTTTTAAACAAAAATCACTACAAGTTTGGCATTCCCTTTTTATGCTAGCAGTAGAAACTTTGATGGAACAATCACTCTGGCACGTTAACCAATTCATACTCAACAAGCGATAGGTTATTGTCTTCTTTCACGGCGAAACTGGCAGGCTCTGTAACCTCCACACGTCCCCACTTGTCGACAGCAAGCCTCATTGAGCCCTTGAACATATCGATTCTCGCATTCCGCAAGATTGCTGTATTTCCTGGCATCAGCATGTCCACTGCAAAAGTAGAACCAAAAGCACAAAAAAATGAGCTCAAGCACTTCAAAACTTCATATCTCGAAAGAGAGATTAGTGACTAAAATTTAAAAGCACGAAAAATCTCCAAATCTGCTTCCCCTATACAGTGCAATTGTAGTTCATCTTAGTGTTCTTTTAAGTACTTCTGTAGCACCAAAATACATGCCATCCAATTACTTTGGAAAAAAAAGGGATAAGTGTCCAGCATCTGTTAAGGTCAGCATTTAGTTTTAACTTGTGCTTATGCAAGTGAGAAAAACACCAATTTTGATCCACATTTCAGCCAAGTAGATGAAATTGTATAAGCGTTTTTTTTGGTATATCCATAGACTTAGACCATGCAAGGCAATAATTACTTGCTATTAACAATTTCATATTCTTATCAGTAGATGTTCCATAGGAAAAAGAAGAAACAGCAACTCCTTTCCGCTACACACAAAATTGATTTTGAAAGTCAACCTTTTCTTTTAATATCTTTTTTTTCAGAACCCTATTTTTGTTCTTACACCACACCGTAGAGAGGGAGTTGGAAAATAGATGGTACCCTTTTTTTTTCCATTTTGCCTTAAAAGATAGGCTTTCTTGGAAAGAGAGGTTAACTTTTTTTTCATTTGCCCTTAAAACGGTTAAAAAGGCCTACTATGGTATGCTGAGAAATGAATAAAAAACCATGTGTCTCAAATTAGACACTAAAAATTCAGAAAACAATAAGAATGGAAAACTTCTCATGAGTGGAATGCCAAAAGGAATTTGTCCAAATATACAGCCTGAAAGGGTCAGGTCATTATACATACCCCCAACACTAAAGGAAAGAGATTAAAAGTTGAGCACCATACGAATGGAACGAGTTCCAAATGGTATATCAAATAAATCAATTTCAGAACAACTTGAATTTTCATCCCCACCTTTTAATTAAAATGAGCTATAAAGCCAAGGTATCCTTTAGGTAGCTAACTCAAATACTCAATTAATACCCGATACTGCCAAAGTAAATACTAACCATTTATAGTTATATTAAGTTATGATTAATCTAGGCTGTGCGCACTGCAGCCACAAGAATTATATGACCAAGGTTCCCTACAGGCCTACACAGAGAATTTAGACCGTGTCCTAGGAATAGGCAATGTGAAAACACTAAATCGGCAGCCCACACTGCCAAAAAGATCTAGTTTGCCTAACAGCCAAAGGCCCACTACACGTTGTTCAACAATATACTTGACCAAGTAGAAATTAGAGAGAAACCTCAAAATCAGACCATAGAAACAATGGAAGTGTTTTTAAAACTAAACAAGGGGAGAGAGATCCCTAAAAGGAACTAGGATAACAATAGCAGCACAAGTACACACATCACACAGACCAGAGAGCACATTACAACAGGGACAGCAGTCTCTAAAAGTACAAGACAAAAGATGAATCTTGAGCCAACGTTGAAAGCATGCTGTCAGTCCTTGGTAATCACCACCACCAACACCAAGCAACTGGGCTTGCTGGTTTGTGCTGAATGTTTTGATTGAAATCTCCAGCATTCATCTAACCAAGGCATGGAACACCTCGGCATACCCAACCATCTGATCGATTACCAACATCAATGCCTCCAAGACCCATGTATGCAACCACAGAATTGGGAGATTAGGGTTATAGAGAAGAGTATAATTGAGTTGTTAGTTAGTTCAGTTATCTGTCAGTTGGCTAATTATCTTTGCTATTCATATGAGTTGTTACTGAGTGCTAGCAACTAGTCTATAAAGCATGCCATAGAGTTGATATTGCAGAGCAATGAAGAAAGAATTTATCAATTTTCCCTTTCCAATGCTCTTCCTCCCAGTCTAATTCTTTGTGCTATACTGCTTTCTCTAGCAGCCGACATTGCATGGCTATTTTCCCTGGCAGTGTTTTCCCTTCGTGAATTCAGTTTGATCAGTTGACATTGTGGATGACACTCATATCTAGCCAGAACATGGCCAGTTGGTAGACAGTATGCTCAAGCATCCATCAAAGCCCTCGATGAGGGAGGCAATAATAAGAGATAATATCTAAAAAAATAGTTGGGGAAAGAGACAATAAATAAGCAGTTGCTACCACCACCGTCATCTGGTGAAGACATGAAGTAAGTCAAGTAACTGGGACAGAGAAAGGTGATAAGCTGATAATCAGCCTTTAAAAGTTCATAGCTGAACAGGAGGGAGATGAGAGGAGGGACAGGCTCACTATACAACAGTACTAGGTACTGGTGCTCACTGTGCATGCCCATCTCCCTCTCTAGTGGCTTTGATTTTGAAGAAAATAAAATCAAATCTAGAAAAAACACTGGAGGAAAGGTTAGTAGGAACATGGCAAGGAGGGTCCCACTGCTGGTGGGTGGAGGCAGTCCCAAAGGAGCCAGACACTGGAAGTCCTTACGCTAAGGATGAGTGCCTCCCTCCATCTCCGTTTGAGACAAGAGAGGGAATATAAGTTGCCAATACTTACAATCTGAACAGTACTCCCTCCGTCCCATAATATAAGGGATTTTGGGTGGATGTGACACATCCTATTACAATGAATCTGGAAAGACGTTCTGGCCAAATTCATTGTACTAGGATGTGTCACATCCACCCAAAATCCCTTATGTTATGGAACAGTGGGAGTAGTAAATATGAAATGAATGTGTTAGTGGAATAATTTGGCTAATAGTTAGGTCATGCGGGCAGGTCAAATTATTTGGATTAGCTGTTACATTGATTGGTTTAATTGAAAGATGGCTAAATGTATGTGTGCAGAGACCACTGGTCATGTGTGCAAACTACTAGGGAGCTGTAGTATGCACCTAGCATATGTATTGAATCGATGCAGCCTGCATCGATACAATACCTATGCTAGGTCAAATACTACAGCTCTCTACCCAGTTGCATCGATGCAATACCCATCCTGGGTCAAATATTACAGCTCCCTAGTAGTTTGCACACATGACCAGTATGTCACTGCACACATACATTTAGTCATCTTTCAATTAAACTACTTAACATTGTAACAGCTAATCCAAATAATTTGGCATGCCCGCATGAATTTACTATTAGCCAAATTATGCCACTAACGGAAGGTTCATGTATGATGATGCAGCAAATGACAATCTGCAATAAGGATAGCCACATGAGTGATTTATTACGCTATCATGGTCAGAAGGGTAGTGTGATGCCCATTTTCTTCTCACTTTTCTCTAACATCTATTCATACACCCGTTTCCCTAAATTGATTACTGCCAGGTTGACTCTTAAGAATAAAACGTAAGAAAATTTCCATCAATACAACACCTTTCGACCCAAATCCATGAAATACAAAAAATTTCCCACCCTCCACCTGCTCATTTCTTCAAAAGACTGAACAGTTTGGTATTTTTCGAAGGAAAGAGCACTCTCTCTTGTCGTGTTCCGTACTAGATAAAAGAAGAGGAGTTGTTGCATTTCTCGAATCGAACCCTAGCTATGGTATGAATAGAGTTCTCTTAAAATGCGCAATGGCAGCCACCTATGAGTCCTGAAGCTGCAAGGTTGGTCAACTACAAATCAATATTTGGTGACTCACCAATACTTGTGATATTCCAAATGTCAATTTGCGTAATGTCATAGTCTGGATTGGTCGACTACAGGCGATTGGTCATATCAAGTACTCCGTAGTAGTCATGAGTCAACATGTTATCCAGTTGACTCTAAAAAGCGATGGTAATTCACTAATTATTAAACTGAAAACATATTTGACGGCTCTTGTTAGATCCGCAAAATAACAAACATTGCAAAATTTAACAAATAACAAACATTGCAAAAATCAAATAAACTCGTAGAAACGCAAAGTCAAAAAGGCAACATCACCTTGCTCGTTGCGGGCGGTGAAGACGATGACCCCGGTCTCGTCGCCGACGAGGCACTCGGCGATGCGCGCGGGGCGAGATCCGACGGCCGGGCCGCCCCCTCCGGCACGGCCACGGGCAGGAACGGGGTTAGCGCTGACGACCTTGACGGTGAGGGTGTGGCCGCAGGTGCCCGGCTTGAGCTGGTCCACCTTGACGAACACCGGCTTCCTCAGCGCCGGCTTCTCTCCGCCCTTCGCCGCCGTCGCCATGGCCGCGCCGCGTCGCTGTCGCAATGCAGGTTGGGTGGGTAGCAGCGGAGGCGGTTGCGGAAACCCTAGCACGGGGGATTTTGCCGGGGGACGAGTTGAGACTTGAGAGTTCGGAGAAGAAGAGGAGGTGTGGCTGGTCGTAGTGGGCTTCATTTGGGCCCATAAATCAGGCCGATTAGCCCGCTAAAAACTTCTGCTGCCTTCAACTCTCCCGGGTGTGTTTGGTTGATAGGAGTCTTTTTTAAGGGATTGAAAGGTTAGAGGGATATAGGATTCTATTTGGTTTTTCAATGTGCTGGTAATTGAAAGGGAATTTCACCTTTATCCTACCTAAACAAATCTCAGTCATCTGTTTTCGGAGAAAACTACCCATCAAACGCCTGATCTCTAAAAAAAAAAAATCGGACGGTCAAATGTTGTAGTTGACCAACGAGTGAAACAAATGTTGAAGTTGACCAACGAGTGAAACATTAACTTATTTACGGTAAAAAAACAGCAGCTGAAACATTTAAAACTTTTATGAAACACGGTAAAGATACACGTTGAAACATATCGCTAACACTTATGAAACAATGAGATTTAACACGGTGAAGATACACGTTGAAACATATCGCTATCACTTATGAAACAATGAGATTTTACGGATTGAAACATATATTTTTCTTTCATCAAAATATAATTGTGCGATATCATCTTGTAAAGATTTAATTACAACGAATATAACGGTGTAATCGAATCATAGATTGGATAAGTAGTTTAGAAGAAAAATCATTTTAAAAATCGCTAAAATGCATGCATGCAATCATTGATGTGTGGAGAGAGATGGGAGGGCAGTGGCAAGTATTTCCGTGAATTTTGTGAAACACAATAAAAACAGACGCTGAAACATGTCGCTATAACGTATGAAAGACGAAGTACTAATGGTTTTAATCGGAATATAATCATGTGATATCTTGTTATAAAGATTTAATTCAATAAATACAACGGTGTAATCGAATTTTAGATCGGATAAGTAGTTTAGGAGAAAAAATATTATGAAGATTGACACATGCATATGTATGGTCGAAATGAATAGTTAATACAATTGAGTTAGCAGTTACTCTCTTCTTCCAAAAGTCTAAGACCTATTTTATTTTTTAGTTTTTCCAAAAATCTAAGTCATATTTGTAGTCTTCATGTGCTAAATTAAATTCTTGATAGGAACCCAATAAGCCATTTTAATGCTTATTGGTTGTATGTTCATTGGTTTTATCACATAGTGAATGAATTAATTGCTTCTTGGTCTTGATGAAAAAGAAATAGGACTTAGACTTTTGGAATGAGAGAGTAGTTGATTGCAGGTAGAAGCACCCGATAAATTTATCATATCGGTGGACTGATTCGAAAGTTTTCTAGACTGAGCAAGTATAGTGTGGGAGGCATCGGTGTGGTGTCCGATTTTTCCATCTTGGTCAGACGGGCGATTACAAGCATTCGCGATCTGTTTTCATTTAAGATCTAGTTTCCAACTAAACTCCATGTCAATTCTCACCAAATCTATCAAACAAGATATTGAGACTAAATATCAAATTCTCATATTAATCTCACCATCAATTCTCTCATCTAAACTCACAATCATTTTCACTTAAGTTGCCAAACAAGCCGCCAGAATACATGAATTTCACATAATTTTGCAGAATTTTCACTCATACTGTTCACAATAATGCTAATCGGTCTACCGATCCTAAGAAACTTTTTCGAGAGCTCATCTCCAATAAAAATAAAACATGTACTACTGTACTACTACTCCTTTGCTCCAACAATATATACAAATATCAATCTTTAAAATGTTTTTCTCCTACACTAATAATCCAATCTACGATTCGATTACACCATCGCATGATTATATTTTAGTGAAAGAAAAATATATGTTTTAAACAGTTAAAACTTAGTTTTCATATGCTATGGTGATATATTTCAGTGTATGTTTTTATTGTGTTTTACAAAACTTACACAACTACATGTTCTTACTCTCTCTCCTACCATACTACGTCATATTTTTCCAAATTTTCCCTTTTCCTTTTCCTCCATTCCATTCATGCATGCATACGTGTAGTGATCTTCAAAATATTTTTTTTCTTCTAAACTACATATCCGATCTATGATTCAATCACACCATTATATTCTTTGCAACTAAATCTTTACAACAAAAATATCACATGATTATATTTTTGGGCAATTTTGTTCTTGCCCCCTACTTTGATGTCCAATATTGTTTTTGCCCCTGTTTTTAAGTTTTCGTTTTTGCCCCTACTTTTTTAAAACGAAACAGCCGTTTGCCCCTATTCTGTTAATTATTGCTAACGGTGTTAAATGTAGGGTAAAAATGACAAGTATACCTTAGATATTTTCTTGGTACTTTTGTACACCACTTTCAATTTTAACCCAAATTTTGGCAAACTTTCACAAATTTTTGATAAATTAAATCATTGCTATAGTATGGCATCAATAGATTTGTATTTTGATTATGTCAAAAGTAAAGGAAAATATCTAAGACTATACTTGTCTTTTTACCCCCACATTTAACACTATTAGCAAGAATTAACGGAACATGGGTAAATGGTTGATTTGTTTTATGGTTGATTCATTTAAAACAGTAGGGGTAAAAACGAAAATAAAAAATAGGGGCAAAATTAATATTGTACATTAAAGTATGGGCAACAACGAAATTATCCTTTATATTTTAATAAAAAAATATGTTCAAATTGTTAAAACTCATTGTTTCATATATGATAGTGACCCTTTTTAAGGTGTGTTTTCACAATGTTTTACAAAATTTTAAATGCTTTAATTTTGTAAATGTTGCAGTTGTTGATTCTTTTTCACCATATATAAGTCAATGTTTCACTTGTTAGTCAATTGCGACATTTTATCATCCGATTTTTTCTTTTTTCTTTTCTTTGAATCGGGTGACCGTTCTATAATTTTCTCCCAGTTTGGTAGGAATTAATGGTGAAAATTTTAGCTTTTGGAATGAAGCGTAGAACTTGATTTTATAAAATAAGTCTATATTCAATTCTGTCAATGTGACGGATCCTCCACTCATAATACGGAAAAATTTCGTTCACATAAATGGAAGTATTACATTATTATTATTATTATACAAAGTTGATCTTCCAAAGCTCTATGAGTCGTCGTCTAGCTCGCTTGATCATAAGGAACAAGTACTCTGTCGAGACCGGCCTTGATGTCTTCGCAAAGCATGTCAGATAGGGCAAGGGCAATTTTCCCCACTTGACCTGCATAATGAAAATTGAACAGATTATTGAATTTTGTCCTTTATAATTTGGAATTGTTAGCCTGTTTGAGAAATATGAATTGCTAGCTTATAGAACATGCTGTGAATATGAGCTGCAGATATATAGGGTAACACCACCAGAGGCTCGATATCCTGAATTCTTTCGATTGCAATTCAACAAACAAAAAAAATTCAGAGATTAGTCTATCAAGTACTCCTATTTCCCACTGATTATCTAAAAAACTATGAAATAGTAGCAAAACAAATGATCAAAGTAGTCAGTACTGCATCCTTGCAAGTTGTAAAATTAGAATAATTTGCATATATTCAGATGCTTCAATCTGCTTGATGAATTTTTCAAGCGAAATTATACTAAATTTTGATTCTGAAGAATATCACTTACCATCGCCAACCGGCTGGCCGTCCCATTCGACGATGGGCAGCAACGGGAGGCCGCTGCCGACGAACATCATCTCGGCGCACCTCCTCGCGTCGGCGGCGGAGATCCTCGCCGCGCCGACGCTCCTGAGCACGCCGGCGTCCACCAGCCTGGGCGCCAGCGCGAGCAGCCGCCTCGCCGTGCACCCGCTGAGGACCCTGTCGAACGCCGGCACCACCAGGTCGCCGCCGCCCGTGACGAACGCCACGTTCATCATCGGGCCCTCCGCCACGCCCCCGTCGCCGTCCACCCACACCGACGCGTACGCGCCGCGCTCCTCTGCCTCCGCCATGGCCAGCGCGTTCGCCAGGTAGTTGACGCTCTTCATCGCCGCGAAGAACGGGTCCTTCATCGGCACCGTCGACGTGATCGCCCTCACGCCCTCCCTGAGCCGCGGGTGCCCGCCGGCGGCGGCGGCGGCGGCGGACGCGATGACGACGGCGTAGAACGCCGGCGCAGTGCAGCCCTTTGGCGAGAGGAGGAAGTCGCCGGGGCCGGCGCTGAGCCAGTACTTGATCGAGCCATTCCTGCACTTGGACGCAGCCGTCATCTGCACCAAAATGGCGCGAAGTGTTTCGCGGGAGAATGGGGAGCTGATCTTTGCTTTGGATGCAGATAGCAGCAGCCGATCCAAGTGCGAATCCAGCTCATACAGGTACCTGATCAAATCAAGAACCACTGAAAATTCAGTACCAAATGAGCGAATTTGCATGTGTCTGATGATCAAATCAAGAACCAGCTCGTGTATTATGAAAGTTCAAATCATCATCAGAAGCAAATGTTCAGATAAAAGTTCAGAGGACGAAGCTTAACCCGTCGGAAAGCATGGCGGTGTCGAAGACGCCATGGCCTCTGTGGACCATGTGATCGTCGATGGGGATGACCATCATCGATGGATCGAGGATGATTCCGCCGACGACGCTGGAGTACATCGCGCGGTATCGCTTGTGCTTGGTGGAATTCCATTTCTCCTGAAGCTTTTGGAACACCTGAAAGAAAATATTCAGGACTCATAGAATCATCACAGCATGAGGTTGATGTGCTCTGCTCTAATTATCTCTACAAGAACATTACTTTTCTTACTGGAAAAAGATTAAAAAAAATTTAGACGAATCTGAGTTGGTGTTCAGATTCTCACCTCGGTGCCTGACTCGTAGACAGGGACATGGTCATGGTGTTCCCCTGAAAGCAGAAAGAAACCATCAAAACGACTGGTTCACCGTCCAATTGCAAACATCAAAACAAGAATCAAAATCCGAATTTAAATTCTGAAATGATTCGACCAAGAACCAAACCTTGCATCCTGTCGATCACCAAGACATCAACGCAAGAGATACCGTAATGTTTGCAGTGTGTTTGATGAGAAGTTCAGATAGAGCAGCTAGAAGAGTACAAGTTCTGTTTGGGCTTTGCAAGCTGCCAAAATCAGTCAAAAGCCATGAGTCGACGACACGCCGGTTTTGGTGGACAGCGAGGACCTAAACAGGCGGATCGCAGAAACAGCTGCCGGCTCCCACCACTGAACGCTTCTTGGATTCTGTTTTCTTGTTTTTTTAAGAGCTGAACGGTTGTTAATGCTAACCGCATTGTTTTCAGAGTGAATTGCATTTTACATAACATTTTGTTACTAAAATTTTAATTTGAACCAAACTTTTCAATTTATTCTAGATTGTTTCGCCTTTGTTACACTTTAAATTATCCAAAATATTTTCTCGAACACATTAATACCTTAAGCACATCACATCTTGCACACCGGCGATTTTTTCGACTTACACTTGAATCGTCCTTTGCTAGATGAGAAGATAGATACAACTAGAAAAGAAAATTAGGGTGGTCTAAAATGTATAACAAATATAATCTTATTTAGCTTATAGTGAAAATGATATGTTAAAAGATGATTCAAAGAAAAACTTTGATGATAAAAGATAGATCAGAGTGCAATTCACTGTTCGACGGATCGAAAAAATGACGCGTAGAGAGTTCAAAAAAGAAAAAAAAAATCCAAGAAGCATTCAGGGGTGGGAGCCGGCCCATTTTTTCAACCTAGATCGCTCGAATTATTTTTGCCCTCGGATGAGAAAACCAACGCACAAGATAAAGGGAACTAACAGTATTTCATCATGTGCCATATTTTTGGTTAAAACGCGATCAAATTTCCAAAGCACAGATGACTAATAACAAATAATCATATATTCTTTTGAGGGTACAAATAATCATATATTAAAAATATATAGTGTGAATTTGAATTTAATTGAGAGAAAAAATAATTTTAAATAATTACTGTCATATATTGCAAAATTTACGTTATAGGATACTCCCCCCGTCCCAAAAAAAGACAAACCCTGGTTTCCGTGTCCAAACCGTCCGTCTTATTTGAAAAAATTATGAAAAAAAATTAAAAAGATAAGTCACGCATAAAGTATTCATCATGTTTTATCATCTAACAACAATGAAAATACTAATTATAAAAAAATTTCATATAAGACGAACAGTCAAACGTTGGCACGCAAACCCGCGGTTTGCCTTTTTTTTTTTTTGACGGAGGGAGTACACTGTGAAAAGTTCACACAGGCACTGTAATTTATTAACTTTCGTGTATATACGCAAGCAAAATTAGCAAACTAATTAAGTAACTTGATTAACTAATATTGAACAAAACTGAAAATAAAAGAAAATCATAGTATAGGTTACAAGGTAAAAGGTACTCTATATGTACATGCATTGTAATTTGGTAAATTCTCCCATCATATCATATACTCCTACTCCGTACTATTGTTTTCCCGGTGCTGACTGTTCATTCTTTGCCCTCTCGCTAGGCCACGTTGACGGCGATTGGTAGCCATCAGATACACTGCGTGTCGCCCACATCCTGGGACCTGGAGACCTGCTGGCTGGAGCCCGTTCGTCGTGGGGAAAAAGAACGAGCCCAAAGCCTCAGCCCCCAATACCTCAACCTTGGCGTCTCTGTGCCTCCGCCGAAGTAGAAAAAGAAAAGAAAAAAAGAAAAAAATTCAACTTTGACTCCTTAAATAGTACTCCCTCCTTTCCAAATACTCCCTCCATCTCAAAATATTTAACGCCGTTGACTTTTTAAAACATGTTTGACCGTTCATCTTATTCAAAAAATTTAAGTAATTATTAATTCTTTTTCTATCATTTGATAATCATTAAATATACTTTTATATATACATATAGTTTTACACATTTCACAAATTTTTTTTGAATAAGACGAACGGTCAAACATATTTAAAAAAGTCAACGGTGTCAAACATTTAGGGAAGGAGGGAGTTTATAAGTTTATACACTAAAAGAACAATTTAAATCACATTAATCAAGATACCATGCACACATTCTCCGACAATACATGCAAACCCCTTGCCAGTTACACCGTAGCACGCACACATTCTTTTATACTGTGTTAAATTATATTCGGATGAAATCCGTCTCACACGAGGAGTAGTAGAAGCGCACTAGGCATATGAGCGATCTCATTGGAGGCATTTGTGTGCCAGCGATAGGCACAGGTGGGAGATTCGAATTGTAACTTCACCTCGAGGGCCGCACCGCCATCGCTCCGTGTCGAGGTCGAGCCATGCCATCGCTCCGCCTCGAGGCCGCGTCATCCACTGGTGGAGAAACCCTCTGTAGTCTCGGTTCGTAACCTCCCTTTAGTCTCGGTTTCCAAACCGGGAGTACCAATCCGGGACTAAAGATCGTTATCTTTAGTCCCGGTTGGTGTTATCAACCGGGACTAAAGATCGAGCTGACCTTTTTTTTTTGCATGGCCTTGTTGCTGCATGGTTTATATATATATATATATATATATATATATATATATATATATATATATATATATATATATATATATATATATATATATATATATATATATATATTATATTATATTATATGTATATACATGCATAATATATATGTATTTATACATATATATGTTATGCAAATGCATATGTATATAGATATATATATGACCAAAATATATTTACATTATAGAAAATGTGTACACATGTATATAGAAACATATGTAGTCATGTATTAATTACAATCCATTATATGTCCTAGCTAGCAACGATTTCGACGTAGTAGTACTCGCTGCTAGCTCAGAAGCTAAGGACCGGTGAATTGTGTTTCCGTCGTAGTAGAATTCACCCTTGGGATCAAGGATTTCTTCGTTGATGAATCCCATGAGTTGTTCTTGAACCGCCGCGATAAATTCCTTGTGTGTGGTCAGGTTATCCCTCATGCGAATAAACTATATGAATGTATGAAATTGATTAGTAATTAAACAAGAAATCGCTACGTAATGAAATTTTGAATTTATTTGTACGTACTTCGAGCTCTCTTGTGGTGATGATTTGGTTTGCAAGGCAGTGGCAATACTCGCACACGTAATAGCCGCACAAGTTAGTTCCCTGCTTTTGCTTTGCGCACTACAAATAAATGACAAACAACGAGAGATCTAATTAATATACACTTGTATGTATTTGAATCGGAGAAATATAAATGCAGAGCATGTGTACTCACAGGAAATTTGAACTTCCGCCTAAGTCTTTCTCTCCATTTGCCGCGGACCAAATGACGGAACCGATACCAAGCCCTACATGGAGTTTAAAGCTATGATTTGTAGTAGCAATTAACATAACAAGATTTTCTTAATTAACAAAGGAACTTATGACGGTACCTGTCTATAAGTTCGAAAACCTTGTCAAACGTAGACTCTTTTTTATCCATTGAGTCATATACGTTGACGGTGCAGGCATCCAGGTCGAAGAGTAAAAGCACCCAGTGGAATCTGCAATGTGCGTGGGATGCATTACATATGAAACACTTAGCAAGTTCATACGGGAATGAAATTTGGTATGTAGGAAGACAGTAAAATTAAACTAACTCTGTGTTGTATGGCAACAGTATGAACGTCTTGTAATGCTGCGCCTTCAGGAGATGGACGAGATTGTCCTCTGTTTCTTGTGGATATTGGTCGAGCATTGCGACGTTTACTTTCCGAGGGTCGATGAATCCAGTATCGAAAACCCTCTGCCGTCGGGCCCTTTGAATCTCCATTCTACAACGATAAAAGGGAGTATATTATTTTCTATAGTCTACTTATATACAAGGACCTAATTAATTAAAGGAGACGTATAGTAAGAAATCTAACTGAACGATATACTTACAAAATCCAGCAACTCATAATAGAGACGTCGAGGGCGTCCAGCTGGTATAGTTCGTAGATTCCCCTGAAATTGATCCAGAGAATGTCATCTCCTTGCAAGAAGTCCGTGTCCCTGATCCTCGCTCCGATCATCTCTCTACCGGTGGCGCTCATCTCCATGTACAGCTGATGGAACTTGTACATTTGTGTGGGTAGGGACTGCAGCAGCTCAGGCTTGACAAGCGGTTTACCGAGTTCATACATGTATTTCACTTCCGCCTTTTCGATTGGTGCGACTCCTAGCAATTGATCCGTAGTTAGACCGGTGTCAGTAATAAATTGTTCTATCGTCATTTCTTTACCGGTCACCAACGGCTCGATCTCCTGGTTTGGTTGCTCTCCAAGCTGAGGGACTGGTTTGGACTTTCCAGAAGATGCTTTCTTCAGCGTTCGCTCATAGTCCGATAGCTTGATGGCCTCCTTGACAGATGCAGACATACCCCTGAAGAAGTTCCTGACACTGGGGTCTATAGGAATCTTCTTTTCTGGACTTCGAGGCTTGAATTGTCTCTTGACTTCTGATGCAACGTAAGCGTCAAGCTCCTCTTGCGTGCAATCGTACCCCGGGTCCTTGTTCTTGGCGGCGTCAACTTTCGCCTTCTTCGTTGCCCTTGTGTGGGCAGGCGGTGGAGTTGGGGGGGCCCTTGACTTTGAAGGTGCCGGAAGAGGAGCTTGCGGGGGAGTAGGTGTAGGAGCACGAGGAGGAGTCGGTGCAGGATCCTGAGGAGGAGTCGATGCTGGAGCCTGAGGTGGAGACGGTGCTGGCGGAGCATGAGGAGGAGACGGTGCAGGATCCTGAGGAGGAGATGGCGGAGCCGGAGGAGATGGTGCACGAGACGCCGCTTGTCGCCCAGGGAGGATGATGTACCGCCTGCGCCATAGAATAATGGCATGGCATGTGTCTCGTAGATGCGTCTCACCGTCTCCTCCAGGGTAATCCAGCTCGAGGTCCTCGTACGCGCCTTCGACCAACTCAACTTCGACCTTCGAGTATCCTGCTGGAATCGGCCTGCAGTGGTAAGTACCTGAAGGGTCCGTTGGGATGGCCATGCCCGACGCCACCTTCATGTTGTGAGAGATTATTTATTAGTAATCAACATATATAAGCAGCAACTAGCGAAATGGCTAAATCTTACCTTTATTGATAAGTTCTTGAAAGGAATATGCAGCTCACATGGTGTCCGCTGAGTGATGTCATCAACGGGACAGGTCGATTCGTCCTGTGTTTG